GCAAATATCTGGGTGAGTTGATGTACCCCCGTTTCACGGGGTGGTATGCATATCCCTCTCTGAGGCAGGGTGCTGAGCCTATCAGGTCCCTCAATATGTGCTCCACCCAGTGAGTGGTACCAAACCCAGGTACCCCATGTAAGTATCCACGTTAGTGGCCAAAGTCAGTAGCAGGGACTGGTGGCCTAAATCAATAGTTAGTCCCAGTTCATCAGGCATTAGGGCCCTCTGGCCTGGGTCAATAGCAGACCCCTATGCATGGGTCAATAGAGCCTGGCAGCCTAAGTCTATAACAGCCCCCGAGGCCTGGCGGCCCAAGTCAATAACAATCCCCTTCTCATAGAACAACAGGGCCCAGCGGCCCAAGTCTATAACAGCCCCCAGTTTGCAGGGCAGTCAGGCCTGGTAGCCAAAGTCAATAATCCCAGCGGTAGCGTCCCTTTTGAGTATAAGGAGGGTGGAGTTGGGGACCGTTGCCCTCCTTCCACCAGGACCCAGCCCGGGGCCCCATCAGTGGTGGCTGCTTCCCACTATCAGCTCAGCAGGGAATCCACTTAAGCTGCGGCCCTCAGCATGTGCTATGAGTATCATTGTGGCCCCCGGGGCTTCCAAAGTTGAGTAGCCTCTGGTGTAGTGTGTGCTAAGACAATGGAAGAATTCTTCCCTAGCTACTAGTCACATAGCTACTGCCCTGAGGGAGGTAGATTAACTACACTAACAGGAGAACCACTTGAATAGTTGTAGTGAGTGTCAACATCAATACTCTACGATGATGTTGGTACAGGATGCACCACTGCAGCAATTCAGTGTAGACATGCCCCTGAGTGACATAACTTGTGTGTGTAAATCTAGCCTCAGTGTATAAATGATAAATGCTGCTAAGTGAATAAATAGACTATAGGGAGGAAATTGGAGATGCATAGAGACAAAAATATAAATGGAATTTGAGATTGTGGCACGACTTGGAAATCTAATAGAGCCCCCTGCCATCCTGTTCAAAGTAATTTGTCAAACAGACACTGGAGATAAATAGCATAGATTCAAAAAGCTGGTGTGATATCATTAACATGAACAACTAACCACAGGACATAGGTCTCCCCTGTAGTGCTCATCCAAAGTTAATTTTAGTTCCCTTTATTTTCACTGACCTCTCATCTCAACCCTTGCACAGAAAGTTAGTGTGGAGAACATATGACCCATCAAGGCCTCACATCAAGTTATGAATAGAAAGCTTAAATGTCCTGATGCTAAAGTCACCTTCGGATTTCTCAACAATGTAAGCTGTCAACCTGATTAATGTTTTCACATTCTCACATAGTGTAGACCTGGCCTGAGTCAGTCAACCCAAGATACACAACTCCAACCACTATAATAACATAGATGAAGTTGACATAACCTTAAATCAAATTTCTGAAGCATCCCCACTGTGGGAGGTTGATGGGGAAACTCTCCCATCAAGGATTATTCGGCCCTCTGATCACTACTCCATACTACTCATCCATGTGGGCACTAATGATACTGCAAGGTGTGACCTTGAGCAGATCAAGAGTGACTACAGGGCTCTGGGGGTATGGGTGAAGGAGTTTGCAGCACGGGTGGTGTTCTCATCAGTCCTTCCTGTCTAAGGTAGGGGCCCAGGCAGAGACAAGTGCATCCTGGAGGTGAACACCTGCCTGTGAAGATGGTGTCACCAGGCTTCCTTGATCACAGGATGCTGTTCCCAGCACTGCTAAGCAAGGATGGGGTTCACCTTTTGAGGAAGATGAAGACCGTATTTTGAATGCAAACTGGCTAACCTAGTGAGGAGGGCTTTAAACTATGTTCGATGGGGCAGGTGACCAAAGCCCACAGGTAAGGGAAAAACATGGAGTCCTGGAAGATGGGTCAGAAATGGGAGAGAGTGTGGGATATAATAGAGATAAAGGAGGGACAAGGCAAAACTGGGAGGCAAAAATCAAATCAGTATCTTAGATGCCTGTATACAAATGCAAGAAGTATGGGTAATAAGCAGGAAGAACTTGAAGTACTATTAAATAAACACAACTATGACAATGTTGGCAAAACAGAGACTTGGTGGTATAATACATACGATTGGAATATTGCTAGAGAAAAGTACAGCTTACTCAGGAAGAATAGGCGGGGGAAGGAGGGAGAGAAAGGGAGGAGGTGTTGCTTTATATATTAGAAATGTATAAATTTAAAGTGCTGAATGACTTCTTTGTTTCAGTCTTCACCAAGAAGTCTGATGATGAAGGGATGCCTAACATAGTGAATGCTAGTGGAAATGGAATAGGTTGAGAAGATAAAAATAAAAAAAAGAACAAGTTAAAATTACTTTGAAAAGCTAGATGTCTTCAAGTCACCAAGGCCTGGTGAAATGCATCCTAGAATACTCAAGTAGCTGATAGAGCAGGTATCTAAGCCTTTAGCTATCATCTTTGAAAAATCATGGAAGTTTGGAGAGATTTCAGAAGACTGGACAAGGGCAAATATAGTGCCCATCCATAACGAGGGAATCCAGAAGATTGGGTTCCAAAGCGTTGATCTTGGGATAAGTGTAGACCTCTTCCAAGTGAAAAAACATCAAATCAGGGAAGTTTTACTTAATCCAACTCAAAATTTAGGGCAAAATCCAGATCCTCCCTATGTGTAATACTTTATTCTTGGAGTAGCTTTATTCTTGGAGTAGCTTCACTGAAATCTTTGGGATCACTTGACAATTGAGATCACTCAGTTGATAATTGGTAGGAACCCTGAAACCAGATAATGTTTCTTATACTCACCCAATTCAGAAAGCCATATCACATGCACGCTTAATTTTAAGCATGTGAATAATCCCACTGAAGTCAGTGAGACAATTCACACACTTAAAGTTAAGCATCTGCGTAAGTGCTTTGCTGGAGTGGGGTCTTTGCATGCCACCTTACTCCTCAATAGTCCCACTGACTTATGTGGAATTATTTCTAGAGTAAAAGCACTACTCAGCAAGAGTAAGAGTGGCAGAGACTTCTCTTCAGCAGTTTTCATGACACAGAATCTGATCTGAACTTCCTTCTGGTTTTAATTTTGGCTTTGCAAAAACTGCAACTTGAACCATTTTTACATATCCAGAACCAAAAGCACTGTCTCCTTGGGTCATCTCTAAATCAAACATATGAGTGACTAACTCTTACAGCCTGTATTGGTTTTGGAGATGTGTTGTTATGTCAATAGATGAAGAGTATTGTGAAGTCAATAAAGATTGGATTAGTGCAGTTGGGATCCAAGGATATGAACAAAAAAAAAATCAATTTTGTTTCCTCTATTGTTCTGTTCCAGTTGTGATTTGCTTTCCGCTGCCCAGGGAATTGGCCAAATCCAGCACCCTGGAGACGTGATTCAAATCTTACAACTAGCAAATCAGGAATGGATAAATGAAGTGAATTGAGTGTTAAAGGGGTTGTCTATACCAGTGTTTCTTAAACTTCTTAAGACCGAGGAACACCAAACAATAATTTTTTTATGAGGAACACCAAGGATTTTTTGTTGAGCCAAAAAAAGAGGGGGGAGGAGTTATTAAGAAAAAAAGTACAGCAACATCCAGATGCCCCCCTCCGTTGCCAGCCCTCAGAGCCGGACGGGACATGCCAGAGCTCTAGAATGTGCCATGTGGAATTCTGACGGCAATTCTAAAGGGCCCGGCTTAGGACGCTTAGCACCTTATGAGGAGGAATTGAGCTCCTAGAAGGATAAAGCCCTAAATTTTCCCACAGAACTTTCTCCTTACCAAACCTCACACATGTTTTTCAAGTATTAAAGTACCAGACTCCTCTGGCCTCAGTTACAAATGCCAAAGAGTACAAATTGCAGGACGTCACTACAGAAATCAATGGAAGATCTCCTTTTCTAGAAAAAGGGTATAACGAAGAGTCCCAGATTCCCTCAGTCCCTTGCTGATTGCTAACTGGTGCCCTGAAGCAAATAAACCATATATCTGAACTGTTATTAGGAACTGGACACATCAGAAACGACAAGAGCTATAGTTTCTTTGTAGTTGCCATAATAGCCCAGGCACAGGTCAACGAATGCCCTCTATTTGACCTCACAATCAACCCTAGATGTTAATACATTTCTCAGAAGAGTGTTGGTGAACATAATATAAGAATAGCCATACTGGGTCAGATCAGAGGTCCATAGAGCCTCGTATTCTGTCTTCCAATGGTGGCCAATGTCAAGTGCCCCAGATGGAATGAACAGAAAAGTAAATGACCAAATGATCCATCCCCTATCATCCATTTCCAACTTCTGGCAAGCAGAGGTTAGGGACACCATACTTGCCCAGCCAGGCTAATAGATATTGATGGACCTATCCTCCATAGACATATCTAGTTCTTTTTTGAATGCTGTTGGAATCTTGATCGTCACAACACCCTCTGGCAAGGAGTTCCACAGGTTGAACTGTTTGTCTAGGGCAGGGGTTCCCAACCTTTCTTGGTCCCCATACATCCCTGGCTTTTAATAAACCTTCCTGTACCCCCGATTCAATATGAAAGGAAATAAATTCTAGACTCTAGAATCCACAACTTTTCTTCACTAACACTACTACTTTTGGAATATTTCAATTAGGATAATCTAGTTGTTTACCAAATATTCCCCAGACCCCCTTGACAAGCTTCTCGTATCGCCTGGGGGTACGCGTACCCCAGGTTGGGAACCCCTGGTCTAGGGTAACTGTAATCCATGATAGAAGCATATTTGATACACAATGGCCACCAACCTCTTTTGCATCGCTGAACACAATACTGGCTCAACTATATACAATAAAAATGAACGCATGTCCAATTACAAAAATTGTATGGGAGAAATCTTAAGCAGACCTGATTGGGAAATTTCCCTTTCATAGGATTGTGATGTAAAGCCTGTGGAAGACAGAATACTTGTCATTATTGTTAGCTTCAAAATTCTGGAACTTTCCATATTTACAGTCATCTACTGTTAAACTGCAATAGACACTTTAAAAGTCCTGAAAAGGATAATTTCATCTGTCTGTGACTCAGAACCTGGACATTGCTGTTGGATGCTTGTAAACCAAGAGTCATGTTAGCTGCACAAATACATTGTTACAAAGCCAAATCTAATTAAAATATGGGCACACCTTAAACAATTATTTTTTGGGGCTAGTTTGCCCTGAGTAAGGGGCAGAAGACATAACGGCACCATGCCAGGACACACTAGAAAGGTGTGCCTTTCCCTGGCAGCTCACAAAACATACATTACATAATATCATATGCTACTTAAAGTGACATGCACATTTATGCTGGTGTAGCCACTGTGACAGTACCTCTCTGAAACTCTTCTATAGGTGTTCCTGGCAGCAAAAAGGGCAATTAGCTTCAATTTTTTAAAGGATTCTTTCTAAAGACTTAAATATGGGCTCAAGGCCCAACCCAGAAAGTAGGGAAACAATATACGTACATCAAATTACCCTCAACATCCTTGATAGGCAACACTTCCGCACTGGGATATACTAAGTCCAGGTTTATTTTTCAGGAGGGACAGAGGGCAACAACAGAAGCAGCGTGGAATAACCCGCATTTTGTAGATTCACAGTACTAGGTAAGAGTCCCCCTCTCCCCATTTGTCCCAACCTCAGTCATCTGTTGGCCAATGTGAGGGGCTGAGACAATTTAGCCACTTTGTTTCTTCCTGGGTCTCCTCTCACCATTTATTGCCCTGGCTTCCAGGAGTCCAGAGAATCTCTGGCAAGTCAGCACGGCCTGAGCTGCTCCAGGGGCTCTGCCATGTGCCGCAGCTGAAGTGATTTCAGCTTTAATTGCTGAGAGGCCTGCCTTGGAGCACCTCTGGTAAGCGTCCGCCCACTCAGCCTCTGAACCCTGGCCCCACAGTTGCCGCGGTGCCATATTGTCTGTCTGCTGCCTCAACACTCCTATGGTAGCGTAGGGGCATTTGGTCACCGAGAAGCGTTCCTCCCCCTGTGCTCCCCACTCATTTGCATTGGGGAGGGGTGTTCCAACCTAACTGGGCTGAAGCAGCCCCCCTCGCCTGCCTTCCCTTTAGTCAGTTAACTATCTAAACATTATGTTTAACTGATTAACCAATTAAAAGGGATTTTACATTCCTAGTATGTGCCAGGGAAAGGCAAGGACTTTTCTTATTTTAAAAAAGGGCTCGTTTTTTAAATTGCAAAGTGACATGCACATTTATAGTAGTGTAGCCGCTGTGACAGTACCGCTCTGAAACTCTTTTGCCAGGTGTTCTTTGGCAGCAAAAAGGGCCAGCTACAATTTAAGTAAGGATTATTTTTTAAAGACTTAAACATGGGTTCAAGGCCCACCCCAGAAAGAAGGGAAACAATATGCATATATCAATTACCCTCAACACCCTTGATAGGCAACACTTCCGCACTGGGATACACTAGGTCCAGGCATCATTTTTTTGGCAAAGGCAGAGGGCAGCTACAAAAGAAACTTGGGAAAACAGCACTTTGTAAAGTCATAATATGAGGTCTGAGCCCTCTCTCCCCCCTGCATTTGCCCCAACCTCAGTCTTCTGCTGGCCATTGTGAGGGGCTGAGATATTCTAGCCACCTCCTTCCTTCCCAGCTCTCCTCTCGCAATTTGTTGCCCTGGTTTGGAAGATTCCAGAGAATCTCTGACAAGTCAGCACGGCCTGAGCTGCTCCAGGGGCTCTGCCACCTGCCCCAGCTGAAGTGATTTTAGCTTTAATTGCTGGGCAGGGAGGCCAGCCCTGGTGCACCTCTGGTAAGGTTCTGCTCTCTGTGCCTATGAAGCCGGGCCCCACAGCCGCCTCAGCTCCAGGTTGTCTGTCTGCTGCTTCAACACGGCACTCGCCACGTGTTGTACTCTGGCTGGCTCAGCTCAGCTCAGCTCTTCTAGAGGATCTGTGCCAAGTAGGCCCCCTAACATCCTTCATCCTTACCAGAGCTGTCCTCCCAGTGGAACATAGGAGCCTTTCCCTAGCTTTCCTCTTCTTCCCTACCCCATGTCAGCTATGTCCAGGTGCTTACTCCCCTGTGCCTGACTGGTGCCTTAGAGTGACCCCAGCCACATTTAGTGTCTCTCTCATCTCCCATTGTTTCCTATCAGGATCCATAGCATTTTTAGCCCCCACCTCACAACTTAACTCATAACTGTCATAACTGAAATGCAAATGAGACCTGGGCCATTTCACCAGCTCCCCTTCCTCACCACAGATGCAGTCAGAGAGTTTCCACCTCTCCACCGCTTCATGCTAGAGGATTTTAATCTCTAGGACATTAATTAGTGCCAATGAGCAGGTAGGTGCTTTAAGGAGATATGTACAGTAAGGAAAGTTCCTAAACTTTATTTGTTGTGTGCATTAGGAATCCAATATCCATTGCTGCCAATAAAAGGACTCTTAGGCTTCGTCTGCACTGCCAGTTTTTTTGGCAGAAATTATGCTAATGATGGGGCTCATTAGCATAAGTCACGATCTCATTAGCATATTTTCTACCATTTCTTTTTGCGCAAGGAGTTTTTGCCTCTCCAGGACAAGCATAAGGATAATGGGGTTGCGCGCGTGCGCGCACACACACACACACACACACACACACACACACACACAGCTTCTTTTTGTGCAAAAACCACTTGCACAAAAAGAAATGGCGGAAAATAGCATAACATATGCTAATGAGATCATAACATATGGTAATGAGTTCCTCATTAGCATAATTTCTGCCGGAAAAAACTGGCAGTGTAGACATAGCCTTTCTGTCTCACTGACCATGGCTTAGGTGCTCCGTGTATCACTTTTCTTGGTAAAATTTGGGCCCGATCCTGCAATGTACTGAGCACCTTTGCAGGATACAGAATGCCCACAGCTGCCATTGACTTCAGTGGAAGTTGAGGGTATTCTGTAGTGCATTTTGCAAGATGTGTTGGGTACTTCAAAAAGACCAGGCTGCCAGATTGTCTCACTTGCTACACAGAGGAAAATAGTGCAACAGCCTATGACATCTCATAGTAAGCAATTGCATAAGCTTTTTATATATTGACCTTCTGTGCTGAAATAATGTTCTCTGACAAAAAAACCTAACCTTGAAGCCTTTTGAGGAGGAATGCAGAGCACTGCCAGATAGGGGCAGATTTTGCATCTTGAAATAATCAGTTCATATAATATTTTTCATCATCAACCGGCTCTTCTGAAAGACAATTTCTTGTTACAAGAGTTTATCTTCAAATTCCCATTTTTGGAATGACTGTGACCCAAGCGTCTCATGTCAAAACTAATTTTCCACTGATTTCTTTAAAATGCAGCATGTTTCTATTTATGGCTAAGCTGTCCATGTTTGTTTCACATATATATGCTATCAAAACCTTTTAATGATTCAGTCACACGCACACGCACACACAGAGCCAGGAGTGTCAGAGTCCATTTCTGCAAAGCAAATCATGAAAAATGGATGTATATAAAAGGGCTGTGCTGATCCTTTAGGCTAAGCCCTATATTGAAGCTGGTATGTAGCTGCACTGTGTCACAAACCGAGTGCATCTATGAGGTAAATAATCTGCTACAGACCTTTGCAATTTACACTAGCTCATTTCCACTGGCCAGCATGTATGTGGGGAGGGGATGGAGCCTTGCCCCATCATTCCCTACCCTTCCTCACTGAACCCCTTGCTTTCATTTAAAAACAACAAACTCCCCTTTTTACTTCCAGATTAAGGAAAACCAGAAGAAGAACAAACAGTAAGGTCTGTAAGGCTACGTCTACACTACCAGATTATTTCGAAATAAGCTGTAGCAATTCCCGAAATAATTATTTTGAAATGAGCTGATTCCTCTTCACAAGCAGGAGTTATTATTCCAAAATAAGCAGCCCCCTCTTTCAAAATAACAGTCTTGGTCGTGTGGATGCTCTGCTTGTTATTTTGAAATACGGGGAGTTATTTCGAAATAACTCCCCAGTGTAGACATGCCCTAAGAGAGAACATAACACATGTTGAGGCCCACTGAAGGGGGGAGCAAAGGTGCCAGTGGCCCGGGGCCCAGCTATTCAAAAGGGATCCCAGGCACCGCTGGCAGTACTGTGGCAGTGGTAGCGCCTAGAGCCCCGGGACCTTTAAATCACCACTGGAATTCCACGCTGCATGCTCCAGGCATCACTGATGACTGGCAGGGGGAAGCGTTGCGGTCTGGATGGCACTGAGGGCTGGCTGCCCTGGCCCCAGCCCTTCCACCTGAGCTCCTACCCCTTCCGGGACCATGGAATTTCCTCTGGTGTGGCTGCTGGCTCCCCTGCATATGTCTCTGTAACATGCGCTATCGCCAAGCCTCACAAAACACCAGTTGCCTCAAAGATCAGACTCCTAAAAGGCTACTTCTAGACTGCAAGCCTCTTTCGAAAGAGGCTTTTTCAAAAGATACTTTCGAAAAAGCTTCTTTCGAAAAAGAGCATCTAGACTGCAATCTCTTCTTTCGAAAAAGTGAGCCGCTTTTTCGAAAGAGAGCATCCAGACGGCCTGGGTGCTCTCTTTCGAAAAAGCGGCTCACTTTTTCGAAAGAAGAGATTGCAGTCTAGATGCTCTTTTTCGAAAGAAGCTTTTTCGAAAGTATCTTTTGAAAAAGCCTCTTTCGAAAGAGGCTTTTTCAAAAGATACTTTCGAAAAAGCTTCTTTCGAAAAAGAGCATCTAGACTGCAATCTCTTCTTTCGAAAAAGTGAGCCGCTTTTTCGAAAGAGAGCATCCAGACGGCCTGGGTGCTCTCTTTCGAAAAAGCGGCTCACTTTTTCGAAAGAAGAGATTGCAGTCTAGATGCTCTTTTTCGAAAGAAGCTTTTTCGAAAGTATCTTTTGAAAAAGCCTCTTTCGAAAGAGGCTTTTTCAAAAGATACTTTCGAAAAAGCTTCTTTCGAAAAAGAGCATCTAGACTGCAATCTCTTCTTTCGAAAAAGTGAGCCGCTTTTTCGAAAGAGAGCATCCAGACGGCCTGGGTGCTCTCTTTCGAAAAAGCCCTGTTTGCATTCAAGAACGCCTTTTTTCGCAAGTGCTCTTTCGAAAAAAGGCGTTCTTCCTCGTGAAATGAGGAGTACCGCCGTCGAAAGAAAAGCCGCGTTCTTTCAATTTAATTTCGAAAGAACGCAGCTGTAGTCTAGACGCAGGAGAAGTTTTTTCTAAAAAAGGCTACTTTTTTTCGAAAAAACCCCTGCAGTCTAGACACAGCCAAAGTGTAACGGTGAAGTATGTAGAAACAGAACTGTAACAGTTATTTACACCACAGAGGAGCTGTTCCCAACACTCCCTCCCCATAGAGAGGAAAAATGGTCCAGTGGGCACTCTTTGGACTTGGGAATCTCAGACTCCGTTCCCTGCCCTATCCTAGACTCCCTGTAAGACTTAGGGCAAGTCACATGAGCCTGGAACCTCAAAGGTACATAGCAACCTGGTGATACCTGAGGATCTGGGACTTAGGTCTACACTGGCACACTAAGCTGGGACCCTGATTCATGTTTAAGCCCAAACCCCAGTTCTGTCCACACACATGCCCCAAAAAATCAGCCTGACTCAGGTCAGCAAGCACTCAAAAATGGGACCCTACGAGGGAGTGGGCCAGAGCTTCTGTCCTGCTGAGACTTTGGTCCAAATCTGCTCATTTTGCACTGTGGGCACAGATCACGCTGCAGAGCTGAGTCAGAAGGTCTGTGTAGCACAGTATGGATGCATTAGCATGGCTGAGACCCTCCCAGGGCTGTAAACTCAGGTTACAATACAGTGTGAAAGTTTCCGAGTCTGCACTGGAGCCACAAGCCCAGATCCCACAGACCTGGGCTCACAATGTGGTGTAGACATAGCCTTGGCTTCTCTATGCTTCCATTCCCAAACCCGTAAAAAAGGCAAATCCCACTCCCCCATCTCAAAGGGAGGTTGTGAGGTGGTCTGATACTGTGATAGCGGCGAGGAGTCCTGTGGCACCTTATAGACTAACTGAAGTGTAGGTTAGTTAGTCTGTAAGGTGCCACAGGACTCCTCGCCGCTATCACAGTATCAGACCACCTGATGATGCATAAGTACCTGTGCTGATGTTAGATAATTCGACAGCTTTCAAGAGAAGGCAGGTGCTATGGTCTTACTTTTCTGTTTGCTCATTCATGTGACCTGAATCGGTGATTTATGGTCCTACCTTTAATACTACCCACTTTTACATATTTGAGATGTCATGAGGCTCTAGCTACATGTTAAATTTTGGTGTCCAGGATCTGGGACCACACTGTGGCACCCAGGCTCTGGCACTTGCAGGGTCCCAGGCTCCAACCTGAGCCCGAACATCTACCCTGTAATTAAACAGCTCCACAGTCCAAGCCCCACAAACCTGAGTCAATGGACACAAGCCAGCCAGGGTTGTTTAACTCCTAAGTAGAGGTACCTCTGTTGAACAGGGATGTGACTCAGTGCTTTCTGGATTTGGGCTGATAAAGATAGAATAGAGAGGTGGCCATTCCAAATGGAGAAATTGCTCCATATGGGTGAGTGTAACTGGTCTGCCATCACTGGACTGATTTGGAAAGCAAGAAGCTTGATCTCTGCAGTCTAATCATGATTAACAGACTCCATTTCTTTTTAAAAGCCAGTAACAAGAAGGGTGAGTCCATCTGTTGGTTCACAGGATGTGAAAAAATCTCTCCTCCTCATGCTCAGACAAGTCCCCACAGCGTTCATATGTATTTGATTCTCACATGCAGTGGCTCTGAGTCCATTATATACATGGTTATGCACAGTCTTCTACTTGGGGAGGAGAAATGCTAGGGATCTGATCCTTCTTTCCACTGTCTCTGGTGTAAATCAGAGGCAATGCCACTGCAGTCAGAGAGACACGTTGGTACAAAGTTGGCATTGGGTGAGCAAAGAATCGGGGCCTTGTTATCCTTGGCAGGCTGAGAGTTAACAGATTGTAGCATCTGTTAGTTCTTGGCATCACTACTTGTGAATATTAACATACGACTCTCTGCACAGAGTAGCAAAGCATCCATGCTTTCCTTTTGCCATGATGCCAAGTGCACCATCTCTGAAGCATCTCATTTGTACAGATAGGCAGGTGCCAAGCCACAACACAAACGTTCTGCCCCTTAACTACCAGCACAGCAGGAAAGCTTCTCCTCTCATCTTACTTCAATTGTTGGAGCTGCATGGAAGTAAAATGGTTGCAGGGAGAATCATTCCCTAGCACTGGATGTGTAAATCCTTGCTTATTAAATCGATTCCCTCCCACCCTGGCACTACCCCATGTCCAAAGCTACTCTTGGATGTAATCCATCATCTGAGTCGAGTCAGGCAATTAAGTCTGGACCTACAGTGATTGTGAAGAGGGCACAAGAATAATAATTGTCATGGCAAATCTGATGGGAGTGAACAGTATGGCCGTCATATCCCTTCATACCTCCAAACTGAGCCTGGGGCTTTGTTCAGGTTTAGACAAATCCTCCTTCTCCTTGACTTATGTTGCTAGATTCGTGATGGGCTCAAGCCAGACTCTCTCAGACTTCACTAGTAATTGAAAACATGATGCCTGGTGTTACAGGATACACACTGTGCCCTTAATGCCCAAAGCAGAGAAGATTGAATTTGGGCACTGGGGAATCTAAGACAAACAGTAGAACTGGAAGGAACCTCGAGAGGTCATCAAGTCCAGTCTCTTGCACTCATGGTAGGACCAAGTGACATCTAGATCATCTCTGATAGATGTCTGTCTAACCTGCTCTTAAAAATCTCCAGCGATGGAGATTCCACAACCTCTCTAGGCAATTTATTCCAGTGTTTAACCACCCTGACAGGAAGTTTTTCCTAATGTCCAACCTAAACCTCCCATTTAAGCCCATTGCTTCTTGTCATATCCTCAGAGGTTAAGGAGAATATTTTTTCTCCCTCCTCTTTTTAACACCCTTTTAGGTACTTGAAAGCTGTTGTCATATCCCCTCTCAGTCTTCTTTTTTCCAGACTAAACAAACCCAGTTCTTTCAATCTTCCCTCACAGGTCACATTTTCTAGACCTTTAATAATTTTTGTTGCTCTTCTCTGAACCTTCTCCAGTGTATCTCTATATTTCCTGAAATGTGGTGCCCAGAACTGGACACAAAACTCAGTTGAGGCCTAATAAGTGCAGAGTAGAGCAGGAGAATTACTTCTCATGTCTAATGATGCCATGGCTTCATGGAACTTGAGAGTGAAAACCTCTTCACTGATCAAGCTTTGTTAAGTGTCAAATTTTTACTCCAGTCTTCATTAAGTCTCCCTTTTATACTTGCAAAATTCCAGACACAGTTAAGGCCACTTGGAAATGTTATACCAGACTGTACAAAGATAACAACAGGAGAAAACAACCCCAGAAATTGATGCTAGTAAACTGTGAGTGCAAAAATCTTTTGATCATCTGAACATGATACTGCATTATTCTTGTGGCAAATTGCTGTCCTCCAGCCATCCAAGATGAATTTCCCTTCTTTCTTCTACCCAAAGTTACACTGATGAAACAACAATTGAATTGGCATCCAAAATGGAGAAATGTAACATGCTCCCAGCTATTTTATTTCTAAATTAGAACCAGCCCACATTTCAAGTATATACATTGGCCAAGCTTGTTACTTCCATTCTATTATTCCTCCTTTTGTACTCCTCAATGAATACAAATCCTCATATCAAAATACAAAGTCAGATTTCTACATAATCTTGACACTAGGCTTAATAGTTATCAATGTTCTTATTTTTGTCATAATCATTACAATAACATCTAGGTATTGTACAAACACAGAATAGGATACAAACATCTGACCTAAGGAGCTTACAATATAAATAGACAAAAGGATCCCTATTTTACACATGGGGAATTGAAGCACAAACAGGATAAGTGACTTGCCACAGGACACAGAGTGTGTCTGTGTCAGAGCCAGGAATTGAACCCACATCTCCTAAATCCCACTCTAATATCTTAACTGCAAAATCAACCTTCCTCATCACCCCAAATTGCTATCCATTGTTTGCTTTTTTATTCATGTTTCTCTAACAGAGTAGGCAAATACTTCTTCTCTGAGATGTTTTGTATTCAGAAATCTGAAAGTGACACATGACATTACATCAGCTAGTACCCTTAGTGGCAAAACCCAGCACTGCAGCATCTTGCCTCAGTTTTCCCCAGTCAGGCTCTTGACAAGGGACTTCAGAGTCCTTGTTTCAATGACACTCTTTGTGTTAGGCTCATTTATTAAGACAAAATATTAAGTCCTTCAAGCCTAAGCATATGTAATTCTCAGAGTCAAACCTGCCCATGTCCAACAGACTAAAAATCAAATCTTTTTACTTGTACTGTCCCTACTCCATGGGCTTTGCAGGGTTCTTCTTTGCTCTGGTGGTGGAGCACTGTCTCCAAGGGCTTTCTCTCTGGAGGTCTCCTTTTCCCCAGAAGGTTTCCGCTGCCTTCCCTCCCAAATGTCATGAGTAGCCTCTCTGAGGAAACAACTAGTCCAGGGATGGGCAATACTTTTTGGTGGGGGGAGCCACTTCAAGATTTTCTAAAGTGGTCAAAGGCTGCACATTTCTGTGTTGGGGGTGCAGGGTCTAGGATGGAGGCTGGGTACAGATGGGAGCACGGGGTAAGGGACTGGGGTGCAGGAGATGGTGTGAGGTCTGAGAGGGTGTTTGTGACCTGGTGCAGGGGATTGGGGTGCAGGGTCTGGTAGGGTATGGATGCAGGAGAGGATTCTGGCCTGGGGGAGGGGTGTCGGAGGGGACACAGGGTCTGGGAGGGAATTGTGACCAGGGGTAGGGGGATGCAGAGGGTTTGGATGGTGACCTGGCGGAGGGAGTTGGGATGCAGGAGGGGCAGGATGCCAGAGACAGGCTATGGCTGGGAGGCACTTACCTAAGCCAGCAGCCCTGCAGCCCCAGTCCACTTAGAGCTGCAGGCTGCACCCTCCCTGTGGCTCCCAGCTTGCTGCCCCCATCCCCCAGGCCAATCTCTCAGCTCCTATTGGAGGTTGTTTTCAGCCATAAAAGCTGAGAGATTGGCTGGGGTCAATTCCAATTGGCCAGTAGTATCTGGCCAATAGGAGCTGAGAACTGGGTTGGGGGCGGGGAGATTAAACAGCCTCCCCTGCCCTCCAGAGCAGCCAGCTGCTGAACTGCACTTTAAACCCAGGGCAGCTGCGTGCCTGAGGGTACCCACGGGGGTCTGTGGGCCAGATCTGGCCCCCAGGCTGTATTTTGCCCAGCCCCGAATTATTTCCTTTCTTGCTGATGCTTCCTTCTTCCTTAATGATAGTCTTGCTCAGGGGTACTCATCATGTGGCCGGTTTGTTTACACCCCGTGGCATGGTTTGGGTTTACATGGGGCTCAACATACAGCCCACACCTGGGATCCTTTCAATATGGCCTCCACTGGGAACACGCTCCACAGTGGTGAGGCATCTCCAGGCAGGGTGAGCATTGAAAGACGCAAGCGGATGGGCTGGCTGGAACAGATGGGCACAGGGTATCTTCGTTTCTAGCCCCCAGGAAGGAGGTGCTGGGAGCACCAGGGCATTGTGGGAAGTGCTTTGTATTCATGCCCATCAATGTGAAAGAAGCTATTTTCATATATTTACATATATATGCAACCACACTTAAGTTGCGGCTCTCAGCTCGTGCTGCGAATATCATTGTGGTCCCCGGGACTTCCAAAATTGAGTAGCCCTGGTCTAGCTTTTTACAGGAAACACCCATCCACTCTTCAGACGCATTTGAGGACAAACCATCCATTACAATAAGATTTATGAATAGACTTTCTGAGCTGCATAGGCTTCAGAGGGGTAGTCCTGTTAGTCCGTTTCAGCAAAAACAACAAGGAGTCCAGAGACACTTTAATGACTTAACAAATTTATTAGGGCATAAGCTTTCATGAGACAACTCACTTGTTCAGATGCTGAAAAGAAAAGAAAAGAAAAGAAAAGAAAAAATAAGGGTGTGTGACATCAGTGCTAATTAAATCAGAGTGGATGTGGCTGGCCCCAACAGTGATGAGAAAGTGAGCATACATCAAGGGGAAATTACCTATTGCACAACAGTGATGAGAAAGTGAGCATACATCAAGGGGAAATTACCTATTGCAATATGAGAGTCATTCCATGTGGCTATTTAAAGCTGTTTTGTCACATTTGCATATGAATTCCAGCTCAGTTTCTCTTTGCAGTCTGGCTTTGAAGTTTTTTTAGTTGAATTTGAAAATTAGGTGAAGGTTCAATAAAAGGGTGGGCAAGTTCCTAATATCAGCTGAATTGCTTTTGTCTATCACTATTGTATTATATGCAATAGTAGCCATGGGCTTTTTGGAGTCTCTGGTTACACTTGTCAATCCTGCCATGGGTTATTCCTTTATATTCCCTGAAGCATGGGTGTGATGGGGCTCAATCACTCTTGCAGCACCCCCTTGAATGAATCCAGGATCTGACCACTGTCTTCACCTTCAGTGCCTCCAGCTGACTGCTTGTTTCTGATTCCGGATCTCTTCTAACTCAGTCGTCCAGCTGAATTGCAAAGTTCAAGCATCCTAGACAACTGAACGCCAACTCAGAAGCAGTAAGTATAATTGTGACAGGATACTTTTGGAGGGAAGCAGGCAAAGAAAAGACACACACTTAAAAGTTTCTATAAACAGCTGCTAGGCAACTTCATGAGCAAACCGAAATGGACAGGAAATCGCTGAGCTGAGAAGACAAAGGAGCAATGGTTAAGCTGGGGGCACACCAGGGCCATGTCTACACTCGTGTCTTCTTGCGCGAGTAATATGCAAATGAGGCTGTGTTGAATATCGCCGAGCCTCATTTGCATAACTAGTGAGCCGCCATTTTGCGGAAGAAGTTCTTGCACAAGACAGAGCTGTCTACACTGCCCCTTCTTGCGCATGAAAAACCCTCTTGCGCAATGCCGTTACACCTATTACTTGAGAGGAAGAACGGCATTGCGCAAGAGGGTTTTTCTTGCGCAAGAAGGGACAGTGTAGACAGCTCTGTCTTGCACAAGATCCTGTTCCGCAAAATGGCAGCTCATTAGTTATGCAAATGAGGCTCGGCAATATTCAACGCTTAGCCTCATTTGCATATTATTCGCGCAAAAAGACGTGAGTGTAGACATAGCCCAGGGGATATAGACAACCTGCAGAGTAGTATGTCCTCACATGCGTTTGAAATCACTTTTCAAAGTAAGTCTGAAATACAGATTCAGATATGCTCAAGACATGAGAGGATTTAGCAGCAAGTAACCTAACAACAAGTCTCTGTAATGGCAACTTCTCTTTGAAGAAAGAGAATGGTAATTAATCAGGGATTGATGCTGGCAACCCTGACTCATGCAAATTGACACTTGGAAGTCAGTGGAACTGCTTGTGGGCAAAAAGACTACTCATGTGAGTGCAGGTTTCCAGGATGGGTCCCTTAGCTTCCATGGGAGAAATGGAACCTCAGATCTAAGTCTGCCTTCTAATTCCTTTTAGGTTAGTCTGTTCCTAAGTGAAATCTCTGGGCCCAATCTGTACCTGAATATTTTATTCATGTGAATAATCCCATTGACGTCAGTGGAGGACCAGGCCTTTAACTTTTCAATAAGTGGAGACTCCCACGGCACTGTTAAATTTAATGGGTCTGATTGTTCCACTGCCTGTCTTGTGTGGTAGCTTGTGATGTACAAATTGGATTGAGAGTGGTAGCATTGTATACCTGCTTTGGACTTACTTTGCAGAACAGTAAATGATTATATAAGGCTCAAGACAGTATAGAAGGAGCTGCCCCCATTTGTTCTTAATTGACTCGCTTGCGGTCATTATTCACAGCCCTCAAATGACTTGCCAGTAACTATAAAAGTGACAGTGTCTATTCAGTGTAAGTGGGCATAACTATGTTGAATACAGTAGAGCTCCTGGTGCAACAACAGGTATCTTAGTTGTTCTCTTCTTAATACCTTAGTTCCAGATAATTTAAATCACCGTTTTAAATTATTTGCACCACAGTGAATCCTGTAATAATTTCAATGAATAGCTAATTGTTTGATCATACTCTGTACTTCTCTATGGCCGTGTCCAGACTCAGGGGTTTTTTCGGGAAATGGTTGGGATTTGGAAGTGAAGCCACTGTTGTGAAGACCAAGGTCAGAATAATAGGATCCCTGTAGCAACAGGAAGAAAAACCTGAAAATTCTGCTTTATTGTGACGGAATTGTCAAATTCTGTATCAATTCCTTTAAATTAGGATAGCAGTTCTCAGAACTTCACTGCACCATGACCCCAGGAAAGGGGAACGAACCCTGAGCCTGTATAAGCCCTGCTGCCCCTGGAGGGGGGCTAAAGCCCAAGGATTTCAGTTTGGGTCTGGGGGGGGGGGGGGGGGGGGCTGAAGCTCCCTCCCCCCGATTTGTATGGGAACATTGCTGGCTGTTCCCCTTCATCATGGAGCAAGAGGAAAGTGCACAGTTTGCTGCATTCTTCACTCTGGCTCGAGAGTGGAGGGAGCAGATGAATCTGGACCTGCCCCCATTGGGGGATGTGCACTGGAGCTGTAGAAGCCATTGAAACCTATCACTTCTGCTTACTGTAGAGAGATACTTGGTGGTTGAGGGCCTGAATGGGGATGTGGGTGCCATCAATATTCCCCACCCCTGCAGTTGGGGAAGCCCATGTCGGCAAACCTGGTGATGATGGCATCCATGTCTCCTAGGCAGATGACTCTGTCCAGCAGGATGGTGTTGATGGCCCTCACCAACTGCAGAAGGAGACAAACAGAGATTCACAGGGGTGCCAGGTCCCCTGGGAATTCCCCCAGTCCACCCTCCTAGTTTCCACAAGCTCCTCTGTCCCGACTGGCTTGGGGAGTGGAGATATCCCAGATGCCCTTTCCTCTGGGGCACCTGGGACCAGGCTTCTTTCCTACCCCCTTTTTATAGAAGCTGGGGGTTGCCAGGGGACTCAGGCCCACCCACCATTCTGGGTCATCTCGTAGTAGCAGTTGCCCACTAAGGGTACATTGTTCTGAAATAACATAGTGCGCATCTACACTAGAAGCCTCTATTTCAAAATAATGTCAAGATGGAGGACTTCTTGCTCTGACTCCTGACTAGCACAACAGGGAATCCACCCAAAACAAGCTGAGGTTGCACAGCTCTTCTGGCTTCTCGCCCTGGGCTACTTCCTATCATGCCCGATGGCCGGGGTCTTCACCACCTGTGTCCTCTGGGCTAGTTGCTCCCCCCAGGGGTCCTTGCTGGTGGGCCTCCGCCCCAACGTGCTGTTGTGGCTGTGGTTGTTATGGCTGCAGTTACTTCTGGGCTGTAGCATGAGCTCCTTCCCTTTGCATGGTCAGCCCTGAGTGAGCTGCTCCCCTGCCTTTTATATTGGGCCTGTAGTCGGAGCATGCCCAGGAAGGCTGTGGGGGAGAGCAGAACAAACAGGCCTGGTTAACCCCTTCCAGGCCAGTGCGATGTTGATATACCCCATCACATGACTTAAGATACTCAATTGACATAGCTGAAGGGGTGTAGCTTGATTTGACTTTAGCCCTGCTGTGTAGACATAACCTGAGGGTCCTTACTATTCACTGCTGACTCACAACTTGGGCCATTTCCCCACAAAGCTGCTCCATCCAGCCCTTTCTTTTAGGGCTTTGATAACGATTTCTCACAGCACCCTATCCAGTGTTCTGCAGTTTACCATAATCCACTACACCCAGTCTTCAGCCACCAGTCTTAGCTGGGTCTGCAATCTAGTGACACTCGGCACTGTCTTCACAGTCAGTCCCCGGGTATGTCTGGCATGAGCCCCAGCAAAGAACTGCCATGCCTTGGCCCAGCAGCTTCTTTATACTGGCTTGCTGGGCCCTGATTGGCTGCAGCAGAAGCAGCCACTCTAGGCTGCCTGGAGGACCTCTTTTCTCTGAGGCAGGGTGTGTCAATAATTTTTTTTTCGGATGGAGAAAAGGTTGAGAAACAGTAATCCAATAAAGGAAAAGTACAAAGGAAAAGCACAATACCATGTGTCTCTTGCAGCTGATTAGACCCAACCAAGACCAATTATGTTTTATAATTAGTTACTGACATTATCCTGCTTATGACTGATATACAGATAAAGAGTGCCCTGCTGAGATGATTGAGCCACTGAAAGCTATTTCTGGTAATTTTTTCCATGAAAATTTGACTTTGTGTTTGAACCTGAAGTCCTTCTTCGGGTACAATCCTCATTGCGTGGCCATCTATATTAGCATTCTGTTGCCTGTCCAGTTTAGACCCAGTCCTGTAATGTGATGCACATGAGTGGACATGTAGAGCCCCACTGACTTTCAAATGAGTGGGGTTTTAAACCCTTGGGTTGGCAGGGCAGCAAAGAAAAGTGTCTTCTATATATTTGTACATTGCCATGCACATTCAATATATAATGATGAACTCCCCCCTTTTATTACCTTCATACTCTATAGTATACATTATAATTACCACTGTTCTGATAATACCTGCAATCCATAGATAGAATGGTCTGCATTGGAAGCAGCCAAAAATTGTTTGAATGTTTCACCTGTTGGGCAGCAAAGAAAAGTGTCTTCTATATATTTGTACATTGCCATGCACATTCAATATATAATGATGAACTCCCCCCTTTTATTACCTTCATACTCTATAGTATACATTATAATTACCACTGTTCTGATAATACCTGCAATCCATAGATAGAATGGTCTGCATTGGAAGCAGCCAAAAATTGTTTGAATGTTTCACCTGTTGTAATGTACCGGAATCTCTTTTGAGTATAGAATAGCGTCCTGTTCTCCTTTTTAATACAGTTTCTCCATGTGCCTAGCTAGGGGTTTGATGGGGAAGGTGGAATTCCTTTGGCAATTAGATATAATAACTTACTCAAGATGCTAATTTGCTGCATTTGGTTCTGCAGATGAATGAGAAAATGACAAGACTGTCCTTATAATCACTTAAGAGCCAGTGAGCAATTTGTATTCCTGTCAATCAGGGTGACACAAGCACTCACATGCTATATTTCTGCTTCATAACCTGACTCAGTCTTGCATATCAGCATGAACAGTTGCTGCCCTTTTCATTGGGCATTTGCAATTTTTCAGCATTAATACTTTTATGATTCCATCTTTGGAGATGGTTGGCTACTGGGCCACTTCATGGTGAAAAGCCAGCCTGGGAATGGGACTGGCTCCCATAAAAGCCGGGACCCCAAAGAGAAGGTCCGATCTTCCTCCCTGAAGTCGAGTGCAGAGCCGAAACAGAGGAGCTCCACACTGGCACCAGCGAAGGTGCCAGCACCAACAAGATTGCGATCAGCAAGAGCACCAAGCACTTCAATACAAGTGCCTATAGCACAGGCACCAGCTAAACAGGCAAACACTCTTAGCAAGCAGCCGGCACTGCCTCAAGCTTTAATGCCAGTGCCAATACTACAAATGCCTCTGGTACCCATCCCGCTCCCCCACCTCCTCTGCCTCAGTTTACCACCAGAGCAGAGTTGACGGTGGGGTCGGTACTGGGGACGCCACTCTTTGGGACCGATGGCACCCAAATACCTCTAGATTTAGGGTTTT